AGAGTTAAGAAAATAGAAATAGTAAAAATTTACTTTAATAGGATTTTAATCCTACTATAATTTCTTTAAACATTTTAAACTTATATAGATAGGATATTAGCTGTGGTAAGGCTAATAGCTACTATATAGCTATATAGGGCATGTCTAGAAGGCCCTACCCTTCTGTATAGGTAGTAGGTAAAGAAGTTACTTAGTACCTATGTAACTATGTACCTAGGTATTTGCCGCTAACACGCCTGAGGTACAACATACCTTAGCTGCTTACCTACCTACCTACCTAAAATAGGGGTCGTAACTTACCTAAGGGTACCTTAGTGAGTTAAGCTAAGGGACAGCACCCTTAGCTAAGGTCCCCTACTTAAATTTTTATAATAAAGTACTTATTTTTTTTAAAAGAATTAATAAGGAACTAGTTAAGAACTAGTTAAGAACTAGTTAAAAAATAGTTTAAGTTAGTAGTTAGAGGGTTAGAGGTTAGTAGTTAGTAGTTAGATTTAGTAGTTAAGATTAGAGTTTATAGTATATATTTAAAAGGTTATTAACCTCTTAGGAACTAATTAGAAAAGAGTAGGTATTTTAATATAAAAATTAAAGTGGGGAAGACCTCGCCTGAGGGTGCCCTCCCTTAGCTTAACTCACTGAGGTACCCTTAGTTAAGGTGCATCCACCCTAAAATACCTGCCTGTTCTTGAAACACACACCTGGTGGTGGTGATTACGTGTGACACGAACACTTGTCGTAAGAGAACACCCCTCGTGCAGCCGCAAACTCTGAAAAAATTAAGATAATTGGTTTCAGAAAAGCAATTCATCCCCAATAGCTATCTCTTCGTACAAAAGCCCGCGAACCTCTGCATTCGAAATTCTAGCGCAAGTGGGGGCCCGAGGAGAGAAATACACAAGCAAGGCGATTTACTCAAGCAAGGGGATTGAGAATCAGCGCAACTAACAACTGACGGATTGTACTACACTTGCGCGTGGTAGTCAGGACCGTCGTTTGCGTGACTCTTTCAAGGTAGGAAAGGAGAATGGGCGCTTCTCAGTCTACATCGCAAGGAAATCCAGGGCCCAGCTCAACCACCACTAAAACATGCTATTACGAGCTTATCGGTGTTGACCGCGACGCGAGCGAGACCGAGTAGGTCGAAGAATCTGTTTCTTTATTTTGGTTATTCGCATCGACTAATTGACCCCCAGCATCAAAAAAGCCTACCGAAAAAGAGCACTGGAGCTTCATCCAGACAGAAACTTGGGAGATGTGGCTGCTGCAACTCATAAATTTGCCGAACTGCAGTCCGCATACGATATATTATCGGATTCTCACGAGAGATCATGGTACGATGCCCATCGGGATGCTATTCTCATTGGACAAGACATCACTGGTGATGGAGCGGAGCCGACCTCGATCAGAAATGTTCGCATCACGTCAGCCGAGGAAATCATGAGCCTCATACGGAAATTCAATTCGAGTATCCCATTTAACGATGACCCCATTGGATTTTTCAGTATTGCCAGAGAGACATTTGAGCATTTGGCTTTAGAAGAAGAGGTCGCCGCAGCACAAGAAAACGTCGATGCGATCGATTACGCTTCTTTTGGCCAGTCAGAAGATACTTACGAGGAGGTTGTAAAACCATTCTACGCCTCTTGGGCAGGTTTCGCGACCAAAAAGACGTTTTCGTGGAAGGACAAGTATCGATTGTCGGATGCCCCGGAGAGGCAAGTTCGGCGATTGATGGATAAGGAGAATAAGAGATTACGCGAGGATGGGGCACGGGAGTTCAACGATGCTGTGAGATTCCTTGTGGCATTTGTCAGGAAAAGAGACCCGCGTTATATCCCCAATCTTCAAACGGAAGCACAACGGCAAGAAGCCTCCCGTGTGGCCGCCGCGGCGCAAGCAGCAAGATCTCGCGCCGCGAATATAGAGCGCATGGCAGACTATGAGTTGCCAAATTGGGCCACGTCTCGAGACACCCATTCAGATGGAGGGGAATTCTCCTCATCAGAAGTTGAGTCGGAGGTGGAAATACTGGAGTGTGTGGTCTGTGACAAGAATTTCAAAAGCGAAAAGCAACTCCAGGCTCATGAGCGTAGTAAGAAGCATTCGAAAGCCGTGCAGCTGCTACGATGGCAGATGAGGAAAGAAGGTGTTGAGTTACAGTTGAATGATGACCCAGCGTGGGCCGAAGGACATGGCCATGCAGCTGCTTTGCGCGACAAAAGATATTCACCCAATCCAGACCATGCAAAGCAAGAACTTCCACTCTCTTCAGTCTCGATTCAGGCTGATAGTGAGTTCGATAAGGATCCAGCCCTCTCAGCTGGCCATTCGGATGGGGACGATGACTACGCGCCAAGAGACACCCTCATAAATCGGATGGTAAACGGCCAGCTAAGTGCCACCGACACCCCTACTCAGCCGCTCGGGAATAGCGTCGACGAGTTATCGACCACTGCTTCTTCTATGACCATTGATCCGGGGAACGGCACGAGGAAAGTCGGCAAAGCTAGGGCGAAAAGAGAACGGAAGGCCAAGGCCTCACAGCACGGCGAGGGTTCCAAAGTATGTACGATACCGCGCCTTACAGATTGGGTCAATACTGACTGATTCTCTACTACAGCACCTCTGTGCTGTGTGTGCACAGGAATTTGATTCGCGCACAAAGCTCTTCGCGCATCTTCGTGATGACGGCCATGCAACCGCTTCGAGATTTGAAGACACCCAGGCTAGAAGGAAGAAAAAAAGGTAGGGTTTCGAAATTCGAGGACGCCCTGAAGGTGTATGCAATGAGGATGTGGCCATCTCCTTTGCAGATCATGCTAGGCAGTTCGCGCACAATATTGGCAGTGTTGGGAAAAGAGCTTCGTCGTTCGACCTTTCGCATCGTGTATTTCGCCATAATCTAGTACATTTCTGCGGTCTACTCTGCAACGCTAGTCAATACTTAATCCTCCATATCATCATCACTGAGTACTTGAACTTCATCTATTGCACCCTCTCTACCTTCCGGCTTGTTTTGGAGTCTGGGGTCGCAGTCCGCAACATGAATGATAGCCTTCCCTTGAACGTATTTGATACCGCATCGCCATTCCTTCCACTCTTCCTCGCTTCTGATAATGAATCCAATCAGCATGCTGGGATCCATCTGCTGGACATGAAGCCGTCGGAGCCTAGACGTGTGACAGCTATCTATCTCTTCTGCAGTGTAGTCATTTATGACTTCTTTATACGGCAATGCCAGCCTTGTATGGTGCGGGTCAAGGTAAAACAGAAAGTTTCCCTGTGAACCCACAAAATAATGAGACGATGAGGGACGACCACTGCGTTGCTCAGGGTCAGCAATTGTCTTGATGTACTAGCCTTTGGTGTGCGTATATACCCTGCGATGCCAACGGACTGTGGCATTTGCAGCGCTGAAATTAGCGCTTCCCAGTATACTTGCGTGATTTTGTCAATGCCGAGCCGCGTGCTGATCAAAATGAGAGTGGGTTTGAAAAAACCATGGTCTGATTTCGCCGTGGCCATGAAGCTGTCCTCGTAAACGTCAGGGCTGTCACCAGTTATGTACACTCGCATGCTCGTCTCGAATTTGTCGGTCAACGCTCTTCACATATGCTACATTAGCGTCTGCCTGCCTTCGGCTGGCTTTAAAACGTACTTTATGCATTGTGATGTAGCTGATGGGCCAAACCATTCCCCGGGATATTTGCCACATTTAGAAGAGCCATAGTCGACAAAATTGTGAATGGAATACGGTGCGGCCGGGTCATCTGCGAACATGCGCATGATTTTGATCTCTTCCGCTTTCTGCTGGCCTCGGCGCCAGTCTACCATCCTCTCACTATCAGCAGCTTGATACATAATGGGGAATCAGTGCTAACCTCGACCTAAGCGAACTATTCCAGTGGCGTTCGCTAATAGACTCTGTCCCGATCGTATCATACAACCCCATCCGCTGTCAGATGAAAATCCGCCTTGGTCGCCGAGTTGATACTTGATTCGCATGGGGAATGACATCGATGACGCGGCTTTGGGGTCCTTTGATCTGGGTATGGGTTTGAAATCGTTCCTATATGTCATCCAGAATCTCGAGTCGAAATCTGTGATAAATTGTTGGGGCCAACCATTCTCGTGGTCCATCTCGTCCCGGCCAGTAGAGAAGCTGCCGCCTATGGATTCCGGCGGCGTATCCGGCGCGTTGTTTGGGGGCACAGCTACGGCCTTGCTTGGCTCTAGTGATGCCGTCGCTGTAGTTGCGCCCATATCGCTGCTATGTTGCCCTTGGCTACCTGTTCGTGGCTTTACGCCTTTGTGTAACTTGTATGATTGCCCGAGGCACCATACTGGCTGGTCGAGTGTTGGATCGTTTGATGGTTCGGGGTCCCAGAACATCTGGACTATTTTCTTATATCGACCGAGGTCTACGTGAGCCATCGTAGACTCCATCGTCATGATTATCCGTATTCTGCTCGTTGTCTGTAGTGCTCTTGTGGTCGCGAATGTCCGTTGCACGTGTGAGTACGAGGGTCAAATGCTCACTGAATGCGGAGAGGCGGCAGTTACCCGTTTGCTCCAGAGCCCCGTGACACACTAGGCCAGTGCATGTCGCGACGTACGTAGGTCGATACACAATAGAAGTATAGCACATGCACCAGGAATAGATATCGATGATTTAAACACCACTTAAATGCGAGATAGAAAAGCAAAATATAAGTATTCTGTACTTAGCCATTTACTGATAACGTTACCGTTCGCGACCGTACGCAAAGCTTTTTTTCATGAGCATTAGCAAGGTACAGGGTAATCGACTGGGGAGCTATTCATGTGGTATTATGTTGTTGCGTCACCGGCACGTCCCCAGCATCGCCCCACCGGCACCAATTTTTTTTTTTTAAAAAAAATGGAGCTGCATCAAACCAAATTTACATAATAATATAACAGCTACTTAGATGTCGCAGGGCAGTGAGCCATGCGACAATAGTCGAGCAACGCAACGAAGTATGGCGAAGAAAAGCAAGTCCAAGTCGAGGGCGAGAACAGGCCCAGGTGCACCGAAAGCCGCAAAGCAACACCGGAAAATAAGCAACACGAAACCAATCGGTAATTTACCACATTGCCACACCACTACCAGCCGGCACAGCAGGCTAATTACAATCTAATAGAAAGCTTAACGTTGGCCGACGAAGCACGGCAAACCAGCCAACGTGACCGTTCATTCTGGGGTCAAGAGACAAAACTCCGGATGATGCCTATTTCATTCACAAGTGCCGGATTCTATGAGCCACTCAAGTCGCCGCCGCAAGCCTCGGAAACAGACGAGCATCAGTCCGACGCTGCCATACCAAGTCACGACAATATGCCGAAAAAGAGATCAGTAATGAGCGGTCATCAAAGCTTACATGCAAGTCTTGAAGGAGCAACTAGCGGAGAGCCAATGCCGGACAGCGAAGCAGCTGAGCTGGAGACCAGCAATCTTTTCTACTTTAGCGAGGTACAGTGTACCTCGCTAAACACCCATCAACCCGAGGTATCGACACTGCACATGCCAAAAGAAAACACACTCGAACACGGAAACAGCGATAGCGAAGGCGAAGTTATACTTTTTAAAGGCAGACTTAACTCGGTCCCCAAAAAGAGCGACACTATTGACATGGAAAATATCCGCACGGAAATACTTGCAGTTCAGAGAGAGGTGGAAACGTCACCGGTCATGACTAACATTACTCGTGGGAGGAGGGGCGGGAGGCAAGCCAAAGCGAAACGAGCCGCCATATTCAATGTGTCCGAAGAAGAGGACGATGGAATGTTGGCCGATTATATTGCGAACATGCGCGAAAATGGTGAGATGCAGGAGCTTATAGAGACTCTAGCGGGCCCAGCAGAGATCGAAGACGAAAGCGCGAGCAGTGCTGAATCTAGCGATAACGACGCCGGGGACCTGTTGACCGAGGCTGCTCTGGCGTCACAGCTGAACAAGCAGATCCCAAAGGGGGCTTCAGGGGAGACCGTCACAGAGTATACTGATTTTGACCCCATGCACTGGTATCGTCCTAGCATTCAGCGTAATAATGGCAAGGCGGCAAAACATAAACTCGATTTCAGGTTCGCCGACATCGACTCCGAGATAGAATGCAGACTACAAGCAGCATGGCAGAGCGATCGCATCAGAAAGGCCGAGCGGAAAAAAGAGCGTGAGCAATTTCGCGCCCTGAATCTCATCAAAAAGAAAGCTGAAAAAGGAGATACCGATGACTTGCGTGTCAAATATCCTAAAGGCATGAGTCTCGACCAGGTTGCCGACGAGCTGAAGAGATTTCTAATAAGCCTCGACATTAGGTATGATTTCATACCCTCAAGCTAAGCTGATGTACTCACGCAATTTCACAGCATCTGCCTACCGCCGATGGACAAGCACGCCAGGAAGATAATTCACGAGCTGGCAAACACGTTCAACGTAAAATCCAAGTCTACTGGCAAAGCCGACCAGCGCCGACCCACATTGTACCGCACGAAGCGGACGCTGCGATTTGACGACGAGGCATTTCAATCAGCTGTCAGACGAACACGACGTCAATACTTTCCCAGACTAGATTATAAAGGGAAGAGGTTGCAAGAGCAACCTTCCCGTAACGGCTATGCCGAAGCAAGCTACCGCGATGGGGAGATCGTTGGTGCTTCTGCTCCGGAATTGAGTATCGAGAATCGTGGCAGAGCAATGCTGGAAAAAATGGGATGGAGCACTGGGACAGCTCTCGGCTCGGAAGACAACAAGGGAATTCTCATTCCCGTCATTCAGACCATGAAGAGATCCAAAGCAGGACTAGGTTAGACTGATGCCATCACTCAAAGTGTCGAGATTGAAATCATCATGTGCACGAATTCATTGCATCGAGACCCTGTTCTCGAAATTTATTGTACAACCGCAAACCCCGTTGACCGTAAGACATTGCCCCAAATAAAGCAAACCATCCGTAACGCATTAAGAAACCCAACGGCAGGGCCATCTTTAGCCCGTAGATTCTCAGATCATGAGACCCTGATGCCACGCATAAAAATTCAAATGACACCGAAACACACAAAAACAGCATCCAGATCCAACTTATAATTTATTTTGTGGAAGAGATGAACTTGGTGACGGCCTTGGTACCCTCAGAGACGGCGTGCTTGGCCAGCTCACCGGGCAGGATCAGACGGACAGAAGTCTGAATTTCGCGGGAGGAGATGGTGGACTTCTTGTTGTAGGCAGCAAGCTTAGAAGCCTCAGTGGCAACGCGCTCGAAAATATCTTGACGAGGATTAGCATGCGCAAGGAGCATACAGGAGAGGCCCACATACCGTTGACAAATGAGTTCAGGATAGACATGGCACGGTTGGAAATACCGGTGTCGGGATGGACCTGCTTGAGGACTAAAACACGGTCAGTAAACACGTTTGTGAAGCGACTGAATGCGCCTGAGCATACCCTTGTAAATGTAAGAGCTGTACGTCTCCTTGCGGGTCTTGGTGCGCTTCTTCTTGTCGCCAGAGGCAGCGGTCTTCTTGCCAGCATCCTTCTTCTCGGGAGCCTTGGAGGCAGTGGCGGGAGCCTTGGAGGCGGGCTTCTTGTCGGCGGCCTTGGGGGGCATTTTGATGGTTTAAGGCGGGAGAAAAAAAAAATTGAAGTAAAACTTAAAAATTGTTTGATTGTGGTCAAAGACACGAGTTAGGCAGCGGATGATGGCAAGAGTTGATGGCGGAGGAGGAACGGTCGGGGGGCGGGCTGGGTTTTTGTAGCTGGGTGACGCGCAGTGGTCCAGGTTACTGATTGCTCTGGGGAGGTGTTCAATTAGATGGGCGCTGGCGCTGAGGTGATCCAGCTAAATCAGGTGGCTACGTGAACTGACTACAGTTAGGAAGGCTGAGATATGGTTGGCTGGAAGCACCATAAGCCCCACATTCTGGTACCACCTGTAATACCGCGTTCTGGCTGGTGATTTTGTGACGGGCAACCCTTGTCGCGCGTTTTTTGTGTTTTGTTTTTTTAAGGTCTATTTTCTGATTGGGTCAATTACTCCACTTTTTACCACAGCATTTCCTCGCTCGTGTTAGCTGATGGGGACCGCCAATCCGCGATCGCGTCCTAGATATCGCCGTTAGATCTGCATTGTGTGAATCATCGATGCTGCAACTCGTCTTTGTGCGCATGGTCTGAAGACCTCAAGATTATTGGAGAGCCTATTCAACGGCACTTGCCACTAGTTGGTATGACGGGTAATATCTTCGTGTTTCTTGCGTAATATAAGTATAGCGGCACTGCATCACTGTTATAATGCCTCTTCGAAGCGCTCCAAGGGATGTGAGGGAACGCCCTTACGCGCATGCGGCTGCAGCTCTAGTTACAGCGTGCCAGCTGCGTTGAGCCTGAACGATTCTCCTGCAGCGTTTTTGCCCCTCAACGTTGAAAGTTGCAACGGCCTCAATACAGCAAGAGTAGACGTATATATATATATATATATATATATATATATATTGTTAGTTAC